TGGATTTTGCAGCAAAAGCTGATTTTGTCATTTCATCTTTTAGTATTTTTAGTAGGCTATTCATGTTTGCTCTTTTTGGCTGCAGTTCTGCTTTAACCCTTCACCTGCCTCCCACTGATTGGGCAACAAAGACTGTCTGAGGCACCTGCTCTCCCTCCCACACATACACCATCTGAAGAATTTGTTCAATGTGGAAACAGAAAATGGCAAAAAACATTAGTACAATGTTAAAGGATAGGTGCTTCTGTTTTTATTGCCGACTGTGCCCTCCTATCCTGATATCAATGGCTCCCCCTTTTCTAGTGTCATGCACAAGAGAAGTGGTAGAATACCTCGATGGGGTCACAGAGAAATAAACTTTTCCCCACTCTATCCAAAACTAAAAAAAATCTGGTAAGAAGACTTTTTAGACTATTCCTCTTTTATTCAACTGCAATTTTTTGGAAAAGTTACCCCAGAAGTGTAATCGCCCAATGTCCCTCATGCTACAGAAAAAAATTCTGTGCTATATCAGTATATGGACACCACCACTGTCTTTATTTAGTATGTCAGCCCCCAGAAGGCCACTATTAAAGTGTAACAACGCAAAAATAATTTCTTTTTATAGCCTTGGACAGAATGAAGACTTGTCAGAACTTCTATCTGGTTTTTGTTGCTGTCTGAACCTTTCCACTCACGTTTTCTTCACCTGCCCTAAGAATTCCTGTGCCTAGGGGAAAAAAAAAAAAGTGAGCGGAATATCAGCCACAGGGATGTAGCTATTCTGTGATTATAGGGCGCCCTTTATTAGGCCCCGTTCACATTGAGCGGTTCGCAAATGGCGCGATTTGCATTTTACGTGATATCGCGCAAATGCTTGCATTGAACAAGCTTGAATCGCGGCTAAATCCGCTCCAAAAAGGGTCCTGCTGTAGCAACGCACGACCCGCGACAGCAGGACCCTTTGCCGCATTGGAGAGCGATATCGCGCGATAAATTGCCGCGATATCGCGGGAATTACCGCGCGATAAATCGCTCAATGTGAACGGGGCCTTAGGGCTTCCAATATTGAGGAGAGTATCCCACGGTACCTGCCCACTTATTCCCCATTCCCCATTTTCTTTCCCCTTGATCCACTCCTGCCCATTTTCCTCACTCTACCTTCAGTTTTGCTTTTATTGTTTATATTATCTTTGAAATCTATTAATTTTTCTGCATTCTTGTTTAATATGTCTGAAGTAGCACTCCATTACTCTGTACTTCACCCATGAGAGGGCATCCTACCGTTGAAACCCATCTTCCTCCAACCTCTTAAATCACAAAAGTTGTGCATGGATACACACAATAAGCTGCGCCAAAATGATTCTAGCTACATGCAATGTTTTTACTGGAGAATTAAGCCACCTTGTAATTTACATCTGCAAAGTCACATTTATTTTGTACTTGGAAATCTTAATAAAAATCATTAAAACCGAAAACTCCAATATCTTTGAAGTGCAGATTTACCCCTCCTTCGCCCTTCCCATCAGCCTCTCCCTCAGCCTTCAAACTCAAGTAGGAATAAGTGGAATGTAGAGAACTCTTATTTTAGGAGTTTTATGGTGGGATCGCTCCAGCCAAACTAGCTGTTGGAGTGATCCCTGAGCTCTATTAACTATCTTACTTGCCTATACCACTGGTCTTGTGGTCTCTGTTTTCTATTTCATATATCTCCCCTGAAATGCCACCTAGAGGCCTTTTCTTTTGAAAGCTTTCTCACCAAAGCCATTGCACATCGAAGTGTGGAACCCTAAAGTCTTATAGAAGGCGACCAAGCATTTAGGATCTAGTGCCAGGGAACTCACTCCTGCTAACAACAGTAACCTGACAGACGTTCTAACCCTTGGCTATTCCACTTTAATATTCTATTGCTGTCTGTGTGCCTGTTGTAGCCCTCGAAGGGACATAAATGAGGACAAATCCTGAAATGTTAGCAGTAGTGACTTAATAGAGGTAATTATCCTCCTATATTCTGTCCAATATAGTTAAACTAGACTATGAGACTATTACTGATTTCTTCCAAACAGCTCTTAAAGCATGAATATTTAACCGTGCACTCAGACCCCAATTTTCTTGTTGTGGGGTGACAGCAAAAAGCCTTTTCTGGACTGAATTTGAAAGAAACGGTGTCAGCCCTAATTGTCTTTTGCTGAAACTACAGATCCTCTCCTTTCCTCATCTCCACATCACAGGAGGATACTGATTTGTAGTCCCATATAAGAATCTGAAGGGCTGAATAGATTCCTTTGAGAACAGAGTGATCTGGAAATGCTTTCAATGGTATATTTAAAAGACCAAAAGAGAAGAAAATAAGAGAAGCTGATTTTTCGTGTTTACACTCTGTCATTGTAAATCTAACACCAGCCATCTGACCTCGCTTTTAGATTTCTAAAATTTGTTATGACAGCCCATTGGAGATGGTTATCTTACATTCACCGATCACCTACACTTTCTTTAGTAAAAAGTACAGACAACAATACTGAAGTTTAGGCAAAGATCAGCTAAAATAACTCAATTTTGTTTCCAGACTGATTGCAGCTTTCTGAAAGCAGGGTGGAGATTGTCGAGGGAAAAAAAAAAAAAAAAGAGACAAATGCTATTAAATGCAAATGATGGAACGGGGCTCAGGAGTCAATTGCCTCCAATTGACTCCTGGAGCCAACTCAAAGCACATGGCTGCAGACAAGTGTGTGGGATCAGAGCTGGAGCATGTGTTCCCGTGCACTTCATAATCAACACACACAGATGGAATGAGGGAGGACTCGCTATCTGCAGATGGTACAAATATAGCTATTAGCTGCTCGCAATAGTAGAGGTCAACACAGCAATGACTACATGGAGGTCAGAAATAAGGAGTGTTAATGTAATGGAATCTTTTTATTTTGCCCAACTGATGTTTCAGTGTTAAATTCTCTTTTTCTCCCATACCCCCCCAACTCTCCCCATGTTCCACTTTGTGATAGATATTTGCTTGAAAATGTTTTCAAATACCCTTTTCACACTGGTGCTTCCTGTTCTCGCACTCCAATGTTCTGTGCAGGCAGAGCTGAGTAGCAGCCACACCCCTCAGGTGTGTCCTTATAAAAACTTGTATTGTTGAGAAGGACGGGGCGTGTCTGGCCAGGTTTGTTATGGAATGCACTGGGTCCTATTCTGGGATCTATTGACATACACAGTCATAGTCCACTATGAAAATGGAGGTGTTTAGCTCAATGTTTGTCCTACTCAGGGGTGGACAAATTAATATGGTATTCAGAAGCCAGTCTGCCCAATCCAGGAGCCAGCAGGATTTCTGTTAGTAGCCAGCTCTATTAAAAACAACCAGAGAAAACCTCAAAAGTCAGGCACCAGCTGTAATTTTTAAGGTGCATTGGCTACCTGGCTCCTGAGATTTGTCCAGCCCTGGTCTAAATTCCTTTCTATTTCTGTGACTTCAACTGGACATTAAAGGGACTATAAACTAAATTACTTTCCCAACACTAAGTTGTCACAAAATTCTCATAAATAAAAGCAGCGAGCACTGACTATCAAAAAAGGGCTCCTGAATGCCTTTTTTCACAGGTCACATGACCGCTTTGCTCATTTGGGCTCTGCACTGCCCGGGCAGTGGGCACAACCAAGCTCCAGCTTGCCATATGTCACCCTGGTGTAAGCACTCTTCATAGTCTACCTTGCCATTAGCGGAAATGACCGTGAGGCTCTCTGGAGAAGCCATTGTCAATCGCTATTATTTACCCCGTCAGGCTCCCAGCTGTCAACGTCACATAGCAGCACCACCTGACAGGGCTGATAATAGCGCTGATTGCCAGATATGCTACACTGTGGTCACTATGGAGCTCCTGGAAGTCTCTTCTTAAGTACCCCTACATAGCATCAGTGTGAATGGGCAAACCTGCTGCAGATAAAGTTACCCTTTGCACAGGGGAAGGCTTGCAAGCTAGCTTGGCCTGCTACTTCAACAGCCTCTAAGGAGCTGACGCAGAACGCAAATTTGCCAGTGTTCGAAGCCTGATACCAACAGTTCTGCTCTTTCGGTTTCTGATTACTGAAACTGAGATTTCGTTGCAAAATCCTCAGAAGACAGACTGGATGTAGAACTAGTGTGAGTAAAGGCATTAAATATTAACAGGTACAGCTCTCTGGGGAGCGCAGGGAGATAGTGTACGCTGCACCCCGCAGGCTCCAATACCTCCTGCTTCCCTTCACCTTGAGCGGCAGATCATCTGCTCTGTAACATACTTCAAACCAAAAAGCAGGCATGTGTGCACATAACACTCACCCCCCACGATCAGATAGATTTTAACAAAAGTACTTACCATTATATATACACGTATGTAACCCTTCCCAACACACTGAATATGTAAGTTCTATCCTTTCCCAAAAGTTATACGAGTATTATCATTATTATACAGGATTTATATAGCGCCAATAGTTTGCACAGCGCTTTACAATATAAGATAAAAGGTTTAACCCTTTCCAACACTTTTACAAATATGCAAAGTCTAACCTTTCCCAACACTTAGGGTATATAAGATCTAACCCTTCCCAACACGTATTTGAGTATATAAGATCTAACCTTTCCCAACACTTACTTGAATATATAAAGTCTAACTTTTCCCCACATTACTAAACAACAATTTTTAAAGTGGAGTGAGCCCCTACCTTTTAAGTGCTTTCCCTACACACCCTGTCCTGATGTCTGTGCAGGGAGTGATAAGAAAATTTCCCAATAGGCAAGTCCCCACTCTACCTAAAACTGGCATTCCATATTTTTTTGTCTCTGCCAATGCTCCTACATACCACTGAATTTTTTTTATTGGGAATGAATAAGTATCTATGGCACTCATTGCCTAAAAAAAACAAAACATACATGTTAAAACTATGTATTTGAACTCTACAGCCATGTAGATACAGTTCAAACACAACACTTCCACTTTAAAAGAGAATCTATAATGGGTTTTGACAACTTTACATTTTTCTTTTACGTTTTCAAACCCTTCGTTTGTTTAAAACTGTAAATATACAATCCTTGTTTTACAAATAAATACATGACAAAGGATATCCAGGGCTCTGAGGTGTAACCAAAGAGAAAGCATAAGTAGTTCCCCATTACGTCTCGTGTGTATATTTTAGCTTGAGGTACTGAGTTCTGCAAGCGGGTTTTTCACAGGTTGTAACCTTTCAAAAAGGGAATCTGTGGCGCAAGCTCCACCATAAGCAGCCAAGCCCTGACTCACAAACTTGCACACCAGTTCCAGGGCGCTGAACACTGCCCGAGTCAGGATGTGGCATATGACTCAGAGAATAGAGGAGTATATCAGTTTTCTCACAGAGGTTTCTTTTCCAGAAATTAGGAATCTAATATGGCAGTTCTATCCTCACCCAATCCTTCTTCACTCCTGCTCTTTTTTCAACCATTTGATACCCGTTTTAAAAAGTGCTAATATCAACACATGAAAAGGGAGAACACAGGATGGCACTAGGAAAAGCCACTTTGTTCTGTGCAGCAATGGTCTTTCCCCCTTATGCAAACACCGCAGCATGATGACACACTTAGAGGAAGGTGAGCAAAGCCTATGACCTCTGGGCTGTTCAGTTAGCAGAGGTGAAGCCCAAGAGGTCACAGAGAATCCCAAACATTGCATGGTTCTGCACAGTTTTTCCAAGTGTGCATGCATACGCTTTTTCTAACTTGCCATTTCAGAGTATGCATTAAAAAAATGACTAGAGCTGCAGCTAACGATTATTTTCAAAATCGAACAGGGCTAACAGGTTGACAACTTTTTCAATAATCGATTATAATCGATTGTCGATTAGTTGTTGCAGCCCTAAAAATGACTTTACTTCTACTTTAATTGCTTGCTGTAGGTAATGCCACCAGGTGATTTTAAACACCACATGCGCAGACAAACCCCATGCAAAACAGCCCCTGTCCAATACCTTGTAAACTCTACGCCAGTTCTTCTTATTGTCTTTTAACATCCTCGTCCACAACATGTTCATCAGGTCTGGGAACTGCTCGTACATAAACGTTGCCCTGGAAGGAAAATATCAGAGATTATCATTTCACTGCACTTAGTCGAAACAACCTGTAGATGGCAGCAGAGAACTTATATAAAAGTGAAACTTTTGCTAAATCATGAAACAATCTTATTTCTCCAATTTGTTTTTTTAACAAGTTTTATTTCATACGCTTCATATGCAGGACACTCTGTGTTTGCACTAGGCTAAGGGCATATATAGCAGTCACGCGACCTGTAAAACCATTAAAAAAAACAAAAAAACAGCACATTCCTGTAAGCTTGCTAAAAAAAAAAAGTTTTATTTCATATATTCTCTGAGTAAATACGACATCCATAAAGAGATATCAGATTTGAGACGAGCTTAAATCTGTGTTCAGGCTTTAGACTTGCAAACATTTGCATATTCTTAGGGCTCGGTCCCACTAGCTAACCTTCTAAAAACACAAAAGGTTTTAGTGTGAGGCCATTGTGCTGTTTGGGGTCTGGTGGGTAAGTGGTGAGATGCGCAGTTTCAGTGCATCTCGTGATTTACTTTTTTTAACCTTATTTGGAGTGTAAAACACGTACACTCATTTCAGGCCTCCGCAGAGCAGTGACTTGGCAGCTCAATTCCCCCTGCACACCCTACCATCAGCCTTCTAATATGCTGCTGGAGGGGACAGCGGGGAGAGTTGCCTCCCAAGTCACTGCTGGGAGAGGGAGGAGGAGCTAAGCTGTTGAGTCACTGCTCAGAGTGGGGAGCAGGAGGAGCTGAACTATGTCACTGCTGGGAGGGGGAATCAAGAGTAGATGAGCTACTAAGTGAACTGCTTGGGTGTCTTCACTTCAAGAAGATGCTCTTCCACACTCCAAAGCTTCCCATGAGAATTTTTCGACGTTCTCAGAATCCTGGGAAAACGCCCAGTGATGTCACCCATGAATAAGCATCTAGAAGCTGGGGTACTTGATGCTACTAAGGGTTTTTGTGTGTGTGTGCGCTTTTGTACATGGGTATCTTTAGGGGGCCAGGTTGTCAAAGGCCGCATGTCAAAGCCTCCTGTACCCTTCCTGTGACAGTCATGGGAGTGGTTAGAGATGAAGAAAGGGGCTTAGCTATTCACTTCAGGCAAGTGTTAAAGGTTTTTGGGGAAATATCATGGGTCTAAACAGACCTCTGATATTTCCCTTTTAAAATAGTGAGAGAGACTTAGGACACAGTTCTAAATTCTCTTTTCTGCAGCCTCTGTTATGAATGAACAGGAATCCTCTATACTGAGTGCTTCTGCCCATTCATAAACTGACGAGATCAGTTACCATGTCCACAATTATGAATGAACAGGAAGCGATGTAGAGCACTTCCTAATCATTCATAATTGGGGACACTGTAAATAACTGAGCACATAGTATTTAGTTACTAACACTGGTGGGATCAGAACTTATCACACCGATGTTTGAACAGTAGATAGAAGGATCAGCAAATATTTCACATATTTGCTGATCCTCCCCGCTCTCCACCCTGAACCATTCCACCCCCTACCGCAACTCTCTTCCTTCTCGCTAACGCGGTCAGTCCTGACAGCTTCTCTCCTCCTCGCTGGGCACTGGCAGCTGGATCGGCTCTGTGTCCCTTTGGATCCCCGCTGCCTCTGCCAACCCAGATGGGGAAGAACAGTGGGTATAGGTGGGGACACAAACCGAAGCTGGACGACCAGACCAAGTGAAAGGAGCCTAAAAGATTCCATTTAAAAGTGACATTTCACTTACGGGTGGGATCGCATAGGCTTAGTCACCGTAGGCTTCTTAACCTGGCCATACACCGGTAGAATTTTGTTTTTGGAATGTTTTTTCATTTTTTCCAGCGGTTAATGGGGTTAAATTGACAATACATTTGACCAAAGTGACGGGAAAAAAAATCAGCATGGAAAGTTTTCCTTGAACAAAATTCTAACAGTGATGAGGTTTATTTTGCAGAAAACCCATTTATTTCCAAAATCAAATTCAATATGAAAGGACATTCATTAAAAGGAGAACTATGGGGTTAGGGCTTTTCCCCATAGTTCTCCTAAGGGTAATGGGAGGACACAAACTAGCGTCCTCCCGTCACCCTAATCTCGCGGTATACTGAGACGCCGCAGCCGGAACGGATCCCGACAATTCTGTCTGGATCCACCCAGCTGCGTGAGTGACAGCTGGCTCTGCCTATCTAGAGGCAGAGCCAGCTGTAACCCCCCACTCGCCCGTCCGTTCCGCCAGTCAGCGCTGGAGGATTGGACAGGGGAGGGAGGGGGGAATCCCTGCAGGGCGCCGTGAGTGACAGTCACGGCTCTCTGCAGGGATAGATAAGGAAGTGAGCGAGCGCTCGTATGCGTTAGCTCACTTCCCGATCTACTGAGCCGACCTGTGACAGTTTCATTGTCACAGGTCGGCTCAGATTATGAGGCTGAGTGAAAATCACTCACCTCATAATACTCCTTTAAGTCTCTGATGGAATTATCAAATGCTCCAATGAGATTTTTCGTTCATACTAAAAAAAATCTACTAGTGTATACCCAGTTTTATGCCCTTGTCTTGGGCTGTTGCTGGCTCTAGACCCATGCACCTTAAAGTTCTGGGTGTCATTAATGCCTACTCTGCTGTGATTTCACTCCTCCCGCAGCATTCTCTCTGATGCAAAAATGTTTTTTAAATCTATCTGGTAGCGTGGCATCTGTGCAGTCCAAGAACTTGAACTTAAAAGATCCAACCTCCAGTGCCCCATGAAAAATGTAAGAGACCACTGGGGGGTTTACCTGCCACAATCAACACAAAAGAACCACTCACAGAAAAAAAGCCTGAAAGGTGCTTAGATGGCTTTGGCAAAGCTACTTTTCAATTGCTTGCTGAGCCTGATGCCAAGCATTTAAAAATAAAGTCTGTGTTTACTTAGACTGAACACCGAGTGTAGAGAGAGCGACCCTTTTACTGACCCTGCTCTAGAGTAAAATTCTCAAAAATCAAGCAAGATTGCCTGCTTCTGGAACATCCAAACTTTGATTATTCAGCTACAAACAATCCACTTGCCGCTAGGAGTAGACATATAAAAAGCTGGACAAATAAATCGCTTTGCACTGCCGAAAGCCAAGCTGGAGTTGTCATTGTTCATACATTTCTTTGTTGTATTGTTTCATTGGAAGGCGGGCACTTTTGAAGTTGCTAAAAACCTGCAGATAGTTTAGCTCCTGCCACCTTCTGTGGCTGGCAATTTCAAACGCAGGAAATCACTCTCGGCCAGGAAATATTTCACAAAGTTTTCCCAAAAGCCATTGCGAGTAATAAGACCTATGGAATAGTGTCTGCTAGGCTGTTGTACTACAAGCGTAGATCGGTGAAGATGGCAGAGGTGTGGTGGGTCAGTGGTCCTCCTAGTGAGAGCGGCTGGGTGACCCGGTGACTGCCCGTGCTGCGGAGAGCCCTGATCAGCCACACAATGGAGGCCATGGAGAGTTCCTGCCTGTCATCCCAGTCCCTTGTAGTCTGAGTGTATCAATGTGCGAGTCTGATATCACCTGTAAGGATAGCCGGTGATCACTTCCCAGCAGGTGTGCAGGACTTTGCAGTCCGAGTGCTTGTTCTCCAAAATCTACAGCTCCCTCATAACCTGCTAGTGGAGGGAGACAGACCACAATACACACCTCTGTCTGCATGATTCTGTATTATGGGGACTCCTCCACATCTAACCCCTCAACTCCTATACCCCTCCCCATACCTAATCCCCAACTCCTATACCCCTACTACGTACCTTTAACCCCAACTCCTATACCAATTCCCTGTAACCATTCCCCAACCCTATACCCCTCCTCCACACCTATCTCCCTAACATATCCACCTCTCCTCCACACCTAACCCTACAACTCCTATACCCCTCCTCCAAACTTAACCCTACAACTCCTATACCCCTCCTACATTCATTTTAATGGCTCCCCAAACGCACCTCCCGTTCACAGTGCGATCGCCCACACCGGAATGCGTGTTCCAGTGCGGTGCAATTGCAAAAAAAGTGTGCATGCGGTTTTATTCTGAAGTAAACCTTGTTTGTAACACTCCATTTGTGTATTTTATTTTAAATAGATACACAAATAAAAAGATAGTATTTAATTTTCTTTTTTTAAATCTGATTAAATCGAACAAAAAAAAAAATAAAGATCAGCCGACTAATTGATTAGGAAAACAATCGTTAGTTGCAGCCCTAGGGCAGATGCATGATATGATTTGTAGTTTCGCCAGAGCTGGAGGGCCGGATTTTACCTACCCCTGCTATAATGAGTGACAGCTTTGGGTGTGCCGATATCACATCAAATAGTAGTAGCCAGCAGCAGTCTCATGGCTTTTGGATACCACAAGTAGAAAGTCTTTTACAGGTTAATAACATGCCTAAAATATGTTAAATGCACATATAACATTATGGGAAGATTTTTGGTAAAATTAAATGGTATGGTGACAGGGTCTCTTTGAAGCAACTGTTGCTGCACCAGATCTGCATACATTTCCCAGGGGCAACATGGCTGAAAGTCTCCCTATCTGTGCTTTGTACATACATTTAAACACTACCCATATATTCCAAGGATGTGCGACTCTTTATTAATCTCGCCCCCCACCCCCCCATCGTATTTCTATTCCGTGCATGGAGCAGAGGGTGAATAAACTTCCCAGCGCTCTCCCTTCGCTACAACTTCTAAATGGCAGAGAATTGTCTTGCTTCTCCCGGGAAATCAGGCATTACTTACTTGGCGATCTCTCCCATGAGCTGCCCGGAAGGTCCCCAGGGGTCATCGTTGGTCGCCTCTCGAACCTTAGACTCTATCTCTGAATAATTCATCACCACGTTGGTGCTGCAGAAGAGAAAATAAAAAAAAAACACAGGTGATTAGCATTAGTCCTGAGCCACACATAGAGACTTAATAATTACACTGCTGGTCTCCCTAATGAGCTACCTATACAGCATGGCGGCAGCCTTCTCTTAGTATTTTCAATACCCTCAGGACACCTTACAATGCATGCAACTTCTCCGTGAGGGCCCTATTCCATTAGGGTCCTGAATACAAATGAGAGCAGGAATGGCATCACCCTTGGAATTATTCCAGCAGAAATGGCTTGTGGTCGAACTAAAATGCGTGCAGAGATTTGGGGTAGCGGGATGGCCGCAGGGGAGCGACATGCTCCTCTGACTAGAAAAGGACGTAACACAAAGACAACTGGTTAGGAAATATCTGTACTACAGGAGGGATAAGGGCATGCCAGCCCGCAGTAAACAACGTGCAGTGTTGTAGCTACTTTATTGTGACACGAAGCATGAGAGAGCACATTGCCAGAATCAAAGAGGATATTCTGTTCCACTGAGCATGGCTAAACATCTTAATATTCAGTGATAACATTCAGGGCTGGATGAAGCCCAGGAGCCAATGAATGAGCCTGAAAAGTACATCTGGTACCCAAATTCCAGCCAGTTATCCAAGGTGGTCTGTTTAAAATGGAAGGAAATGAGGTCTGGCTACTTAAAATGGAACTATAGGTAAATCTCAGCCCTCTATATATGTTCCATCTTACTCTTAGTCACACACACCCCACAACTGATGATGATCATTCCATCTCATAGGCAACTATGGGAAACAACTTATGCTCTAGTTCTTTTTCCATAGCCATCTCTCCTCCCGGGGCAGCTTGAATGGACAATGAAGGAGACGCATATTGATGAGGTCATCAATGTGCTCCTACCTTCTGAAAGCTCCTAGTATTACACTTGCAGTATGGTGCATAGAAACAGATCCCCGAGTGGATCTCACTGCCAGACCCACCTACACAGAGTGCTGATGTGTAGGTGATTAAAGGATGCAGATATGCATATTACAGACTGCAGTACTTGTACTAGCAATACCTAAAGTGGTACTACACCCTCCTTTCTATAACAGCCAAGAAAGGTGCCATCTTAGCCTCTTTTTTTGGGTTGCAGTTGCCATGGTACTGCATGTGATAAACTACAAAACCAGCCAATTGAGGGTTTGAGAGCTGACAAAAAAAAAAGCACACTGGAAATAGGGAGACATTAAATTGGTGGGTAAAGCTCCTCTTTAAGCTGGTACCTTTTTATTTAGGTAAGACTGGCAGTGCCACCAAGCAAAGTATACTTACCCTTCCAATGTCAGAGCTTACCCATGTGGATGTCAACACCCCCATGTGACAATCTTTGGGCATGGTGATTGGCCACTCAGGGGTTGTCACCTGCACCCATGCTATATTACAGCAATGCAGCAAGAACACTGACAGAATGGGGAGATGGCAAGGGAGCACAAATGACCAAGTATAGCTTGCTGGGAGGGTGGGCTACCAGGAAGCATGTCTTTAAATAGATCTAACTTAAAGATTTTTAGTGTGTGTGTATATATATATATATACACATATATACATATACACTTAAAATTGTTTTCTCTATTTGCCTAGAGTTTCACTTTCATCACTTGCCACCCGAGCACCATATAAGAATATCAGGAAAGACTGGAGTTACTGCTATAATTAATTAATAAACGTTCTTTAAACATGGCGGGTCATTGTCTAGCGCAAAAAGCCTTAGGACCAAAATGTCTTGAAGACTCCTGATCACAAAAAATGCTAATATGAAATATCTTTGGGTGTGCTTATATCCTCTTCTTATGAATGGCCCTAAATAGGAGCCTATAAAAACAGGGGCCAGTGTTGTTCACAGGTTTAAGCACCTCCCCAGTCCTTGAGCTAACTTCAGTCTTATCCTTAAACATTGAAGCATAGGAGGGAAGCCGGAAATCTGACAGAAGTCTGTGAAACCTGTGCACATTGGATTTTTATAAAACTCAGATTGAGAGACAGACAGCAAAGTGATAATGACTCCTGGATAACATTATTCAGTTCACCGATTGACTTTGCTTGCTGCCTGTCGTTGCTCTTAAAGCTCACCCGGCAGACGCCGAGTTAAGGAAACCAATCTGTACGTGGCTGTAGTCCAAACAAATTAAACACATCTTGGAAGGAGGGACTTCAGGCCCTTTCTTCCTTTCCCATGTAAAGATCAGTCCTCGTTTTGTGCCATACCCAGGGTCCCGGTGACCTCAGTGCAAGGAAGGAATTTACATCCAGATGTGGTGGACTGGTTGGGGGGAGGCAGGAGGACCTCGTTAGCATAAAATCTGCTGTGATTGATATGGAAGTGATATTGGAGGATGCACGGCTAAGTCGGAGGGAGTGCGGCCATTATGGGTGAGTTAGGGCCTCTTGGAAGGAAATCATGTGGAGATTTTTGGGGGGTTAGGGGGGAGTCGGCTGCGATGGCAGTTCCTTGGCACTTCTTCAGCTTCTAGTTTTAAGGAATTAGCCTCGTGTGACAGGAAATAAATCAAGCTGCACACTAGAGAAAGGGGGCTCCTGAACATATGGATTCTGACCTCGTTCTGGGAGTATAGTAAACCCTACACACCGTGGGAGACCCTCAAAACAGTGGAGGTTTTTCAATGTGTAAGCATATTCACTAGATGAACCAGAATGGAAGAATGCCTTGCGGGACGCCTGTGACTGCAAGCATGATAAATTATTACCTATATACCAGGCTTCATTACATCAAGCCATATCCGTTCCATATTCTGCAAGTTATCCCAACCATGTCAAAGTATTACAACTGATCCATACAAAAGAGGACTGTAAAGTCATAGCAAATACCTTCTTTGAAAAACACCTAACATCATATAGAATTAACAGTAATGAAAACCTGAAACTCAATAATTTGGAGGGTTGTCCACATACTATAACCATAAAGGTAGATTTGATATTGCTGTTATCCACGATAACAGCGATATCAAGATAGTGTACCCAGAATCATTGTATACGATAATTAACACCAACCAGTATTGCAACTATGGACCTAGTTATAGCCCAGCTTTGTAAATAAACCTTTTATCCTCTAGAACATTTAAAAGAAAGAAACAACCTACCTAAGATCAGAATATACAAGATGCCTGCTATTACTTTTCTTAGACCAAAAAAATATTCTATGTGTGTCGCTCTGAAATTAGTCAATCAGGGTCCATAAGACTGGGGCTGAACCCACTACGTGCCATTCCCATGTCCAACCAGAACACTTCAGTGTTAATAAGAGAGCCTTCATTGGATGGCAGGACAGCAGCTGGTGAAGTCCGGTCCCTTGCAAACGGAAACTAGCTTTCGAAGGGCACGCACAAAAGGGTTTAGTGTATTTTCTTAGGCAGACGCTTAGTCCAATTCTCTTTTGTATCATTTAGGCATTTGCTTTGTGACAATATAACAAAGAAGCGTGCAATATATCCGGTACGAGATCCTGGCAGGCAGGCAGCAGACAAAATGATTCCAATCTTTTGCACTTATGTGGTCTGTTCAGTGAGGTTTTCTTGGAAAGAGAGGACTGAGCAGAGGATGTAATAATCCAGGTTTCCAGGAACCATTTACAGCACATCAGTTTTTAAGATGTACTTAATAGCTTCTCACAAAGACCATCATTCATCTATAATGTCCTATTCTGTGCTCTGCAGTAGCATCCCGTCTACTTATTACAAAGTGAAAATGTATTTACACATTACAGGCTTTTGGTTTTCATTCTGCACCACTCAATAATATGAACAATATGATGAAAGCTCTGAGATGCAGAACGTTAGGACTCACTGGGACGTGGAGTACTTCAGTGAGTAGGTGATGAGGAAGTTGTCCTTATCTCATTTATTTAGTAACCCCCTAGATATCCTCTCCAGAGTTAGACACTGGTCTCTCAAAACTGAATAAGTGTACCCAGCCAATACAAGGACATAGTAATGCTTGGAGCAATGTATCACAGCTGTGCAACTCGAACACAGAGATTATAGCTTGTAGGTCCTTGTGGCTAGGTCACATTACGAAGATGCAGCACCACTACTAGCCATGTGGCTATGCCCCATCACTGAAATGCAGCACCACTCCTACTACCAGCCACGTGGCTATGTCACATCACTGAGATGCAGCATCACTGCTACTACCAGCCACGTGGCTATGTCACATCACTGAAATGCAGCATCACTGCTACTACCAGCCAAGTGGCTATGTCACATCACTGAGATGCAGCATCACTCCTACTACCAGCCATGTGGCTATGTCACATCACTGAGATGCAGCACCACTCCTACTACCAGCCATGTGGTTATGTCACATCACTGAGATGCAGCATCACTCCTACTACCAGCCATGTGGCTATGTCACATCACTGAAATGCAGCACCACTCCTACTACCAGCCATGTGGCTATGTCACATCACTGAGATGCAGCATCACTGCTACTTACCAGCAGTGGTAAGGAGGTGATTTTTTTACAGCAAAGGGTTTTCAGAGACTGCGCTGGGCTATGTTGTATGGCCACTAAAAGCTCCTTTATGACAGACAAAACTAGCAAATCCAGTTACTATGTATGCCACAACTTCCTTTACTTCCCCTGACTGAGCCAAATTGCTCTTTTATTTGTATCTCATGTGCTCCCCCTCCGAGACACTGCAGCTCACAGTGGGAGTGTTACAGCAGCATAGTTCGTTCCACCAACCCAGAAAACAGTTGGCAGAGTTAGGTGTAGCCAGGTGCTGACAAGCTACATGCAGAAGAATCAGCAGTGACAATGCTAATAGTTAAGCCCCCTGCAAAAACATTTTATTCAATTGTAGTGCAAGCAGGCATAGGCTACATGAGAGTGGCAACTATGATCTGAATTCAGGGGTGGTGCAGCATTGCTGCCACACTATCACAGGAAGCTGCATTAGGTGGACTTCTCTGGCAGGCTCAGCAGGTATGCGTGGGGCTTTCTTGAACTACAGATATAC